GAGTTGTTCCTTAGAGGATTTGATTGATTTGCTTCCATATGCGTATAAAGTTTGATTATTTTATTTATTTCCATCATAGTATGCATTTTAATTTAAGCTCACTTCACAGAATGTACAGCTATACTTCACCATTAGTGTGTTGATGTTTGTATTCAGATATAAACTTATGCCATTTTCTTGTGTAATACCGTGGCTTTCTGGCGCAGTCGTTTAATTTTCAGTAAACACACAGATCAAAACTCCATCCCACCTATAAACGTTTTTGTAGTAAAGAGTAAAGATGCCTGATTGCCAGTAGTATTAAAATTCATATAGTTTTCAATTAATGTCTGCACGTATTAGTTTGTATCCTACTGTATATCAGATTCTGAAAGACTTTTGTTTTAAAACAATGTAAACATTTCCTATTGTTTATTATCGTTTGGTTAGGTAAACACTTCGTTTACTTTAGGGACATGAGTTAAAGTCATCGAAACAGTTAGGTGAAAACGCTGCTTTTCACTGAAATGCAAACACATTGAGATGACGGATCTCAAAATAGGGTGTGTCGTTTGTACTGAATTTCACTGCTGCCTATCTCCAATCAAATTGTAGACTGTTAACCAAGTTCTCTATACCGTTATAAATTTCATGCGTAAATCAACTAAAACTTCTGTGGTTCATTCATGAAGTGAAATGTATGCATTGTGGTGTAAGTCAAATCTTTATTAACTTAGCTACTATCTAATATTACAAGGTTGCATGTATCACAGTCACATGTACTTATCTTGTGGTCTAACCTGGTCAAATGAAATCATAATTAGCTTCCTTCAGCCTCCACATATCGTGGTATGTCATGTTGCATTTGTCCGTTAGAACAAACCAATGCTATCGCTATATATCTTTCCTGCTGCAATTTAACATTATAAATTCCAGTCACACATGTGTCCATGTTTTCACTTAAGAGGTTGTCAAAATTGTTTGCAATCAACACAATTTATCCCCTAAAACAGAATAATTTCGATATTTATAGAATCCTCCTGAAGCATTAATTTCATTTTCTGAAAGTCCTGACTGACCGGTTTCAACATATAACTTTGTATAGAAGTGCAGCAGTTCGAGTTACCCTACTCTATGAAGCACACAAAGTTAGACAAAAGAGAAAAAAGATATCCGAAAGAAGAATATTTAACAGAAATGTGAAAGACAAAGGATAGTAACATGGAGAAACAATAGAGTATTACTGGATGTGATGGATCACAAAGAGTGAATGCATCTGTGCCACTGAGAACTATTTTGAGCCATTTTACCAGTTGGTGGTGCATTCGTTTGGGGCGTAGGTGAAGATTATGGAAAAACATCGACGGGTAACACAGTCCTTCCTCTAACAGATTCGTTCGGATGGAAGTCACACCCGACCGAAAGCTGCTACCTTGACGTGGTGGTTGGGCTTGAACACCGCAATGACGTATTCATGCTATACTGGCTGAGACTTATGTCTCTTGAGGTCGTACCATGCCAGGCAGGTTGTTTGGATAGCGGTTAAACAAAAAGCAGCTACCCAATCCAACATAATGATACACACAATACCACAAAATTTCATGCCGGATCGGTCGTGGCCCGGATTAACAACGACCGCGCTTCCTGCTACTGAGACACACAAAGCAATAAAGAACAAACAAAAGCAGGCCGCGTGTGACCGGCACCAAGCAGTTGTCCGCTGGGTTCTGCGGTCACGCCGGGAAGTAACAGTCGCCCTCACAATCCGAAATGCACGCTAAACCTCTCTATTACTCACTTATCCTTGTCTTCATCTTCATCTCTATCATCTTGGCTTCCTTCCACTGATGCAACTCCTCGGCTTGATAGCTCTTCACTTTCTCTCCACTCTGCGTCCACTAAAAACGACGGAAGCCAAAAAACCACCACCGATAGTCTCCTAAAGCCACACCACCAATTTTATATAGGAGCTTTTTGATATGTATCCACATATATATATTTATGTGTGTGTGTATGTTGGTCTCTCTTTCTGTTTGCTCGCTTAGTCTGTGACCATTTCACTTGTATGAACCTGTCTCCCTTAACAATGTATATTCTCCTTATGTTATATATAATATGAGTGCTTGTTGACAGTCCATAACATTAAATTTAGCGACGGGGAAAACTACTATTAACCTCTCAGCAGCAGCAACATAGCACTTTTATTGTTAGGACACTTTGCCAAACAGGACAACAAGCATCACTAGCCAAGACCCTGGCATCACGAGCCATTGATGTATGCTGTGTTTCAGAAACACGCATACAAGACCCAAGTGTGGTTATTCACCTAACCCCACCTGGCCAACAGGTTGAATCTGAAAAATTCACCCTGAGGGTGTCAGGAGATGCCACAGCTAGTTCACGAGGATTAGCTGGTGTACGGATAGCTTTGAGTACTAAGGCAGAAAAGACATTACTTGACTGGATCCCGGTAGATAGCCGAATGTATGCTGTCCGTCTGAACGGGTCAGTAAAAAGGAGAAAGGACTGCTCTACTCGCCGATGCCTTTTCGTAATCTCCGCCTACGCCCCCACTGACTGCAGTTCGGATGAAACGAAAGATGAGTTCTACCAAAAGCTGTCTAGTTTGCTACGAAAGGCTAAACGCTCAGATATAGTCGTTCTAGCTGGTGACTTTAACGCTCAAGTAGGGAAATTGTGTCAATCTGAGAAGGATGTCGGTGGCACCTATGGAGTTTCTTGCCAGCGAACCGACAACGGTGACTGTCTCCCTATTTGAGGAAGAACTAGCTAAACACATATCTGTGTTCGACAGCTGTGCTCACCCTGAAGAAGCTTGGAAGAATATCCAGGCAGCCATAGATACAGCTGTAAAAGCTGTGAATAAGGTAAACCCAAAGGTGAGTAAAAACCACTGGATCTCCACCGCCTCATCCGAACTGATAGATGCTAGAAGACTTATTCCGGCGAGCTCCGAATTCAATGAGGAGCGAAAGCTGCACAAGAGGAAACTTACGAAAAGTCTCCGCAAGGACCGTGAACAGTGGTGGGCGACAAAAGCCAAAGAGATGGAGAAAGCTTCGAGGATAGGCAACACCAGGCAACTCTTTAGACTCATCAGGGAAACGGGTGGGAGAAGACAAATCATTAGTGAGACAATCTCGGAAAAAAATGGCACTATAATTAGCTCCCAGGATAGACGACTGGATCGTTGGAAAGAGCATTATGAGGAGCAGTTTAATTGGCCCACAGCCACGCTCAACCTTCCGAGCATCCAACACCTCCCTGAATGGGATATAGACACAGGTCCTCCGTCCCTAACTGAGGTTACTAAAGCTGTCACCAATCTGAAACTAGGCAAAGCAGCGGGACCTGATGGAATGACTCCAGAGGTATTTAAGTACGGTGGAGACAGCTTACTGTCTGCATTAACTGAGGTACTAGGCAGCGTCTGGGAATCAGAAGAAGTCCCATCGGGTTGGTGTAAGTCACTGATTATCCCCATATACAAGAAGGGAGACAAGTCTTCCTGTGATAATCACAGAGGGATTAGCTTGACTAATATAGTATCTAAAGTCTTAGGCTCAATAATCATGCGTAGACTGAGTGGTGCTCGGGAAGCACAAACACGAGAGAGCCAGGCAGGCTTTAGACCAGGAAGAGGGTGTATTGATCATATCTTCACCCTCCGACAGATTCTAGAACATAGGCATTCCTACCGGCGTCCAACAGTCATTATATTTCTTGACCTAAAGGCAGCATTCGACTCTGTCGATCGAGAAGTTCTCTGGAGATGCTTGGCTGTAAAGGGAATTCCGAGAAAATATATTGCACTGATTAAGGCACTCTACTCGTACTCATACAGCCAGGTGAGGGCTTACGGCGAGCTGTCATCTGAACTGATGACGACCAGTGGTGTCCGTCAAGGATGCCCATTATCTCCTTTTCTATTCAACTTCATCATAGATGTGTTAATGGACTTAACCCTAGGTGACTTCAGCGACTCAGGGATTGACTTGCTACCAGGGAATAATCTCGTTGACTTGGAATATGCAGACGATATAGTCCTTCTAGGCGAAGACGCTGACGAAATGCAGAGTCTTCTAAACACCTTGAGCCGCAATCTACGAATGTTTGGCATGCGATTCGCTCCCGCCAAATGCAAGATGATGTTACAGGACTGGACTACATCGACGCCTAGTTTAAAAATAGGAAGTGAAGTGGTAGAGCACGTTGACCGCTTCACTTATTTGGGAAGTACCATCAGCCCCAACGGGTTGATCTCTGACGAAATCTCAGCACGAATACAAGGGGCTCGTTTCGCATTTGCCAGTTTACGCCGACTCTGGCGTAGACGAGATGTTCGACTATCGACCAAAGGGCGGGTGTACTGCTCATCAGTCCGCTCCGTCCTCCTTTATGGTTGTGAGACCTGGCCACTGAGAGTGGAAGACATGAAAAGACTAGCTGTCTTTGATCATAGGTGCCTGCGCTCTATTTCCCGTGTAAAGTGGCATAATAAGGTGAGCAACATTGAGGTTAGGCGTAGAGTTCTAGGTAAACAGGGGAAATCAATCGACGAAGTCGTGAAGCTACAAAGACTGAGATGGTTAGGACATGTGTTACGTATGCCAAGCCATCGCCTCCCTCGACGAGCAATGTTAGCGGATATAGGGTCAGGCTGGAAAAAAGCTAGCGGCGGTCAAACAAAAACTTGGCACCAGTCAATGAAATCCACAACAGTTGGTCTAAGCCACGTAGGAAGGTGTAGACTTCCAGGCTGGGGTCCTCGGGACGGTAAAAATCTATGGTTGGAAACAATTGGTGACATGGCTCAAAATCGTTCTCAGTGGCGCAGATGCATCCACTCCTGATGACTTATGATTTCCAATGAAACTGTTTTGTTCTTCGTTATTACTCCTTTGTCTCACACCTCTGCTCACTGTTTCTATTATGCTTTTCTTGTACTTTCTTCTCTTGCTTCGCGTGCTACACGGAATGTGGCGACTTGAACTTCCGCACATTTGTGCAAAGTTCTATGTCGAAAACAGACAGACAGACATGACTGTTCACTGAAATCTAGTCGAGCACCCCTGCAAGTCCCCCAAGACTAGCCGTAGGATTTCCTGACACTCGTAAGGTGAATTTCGCGAATTCACCCTGTTGGCTAGTTGACGCTAAGCAAATAATCACTTGGGTGTTGTATGTGTGTCTCCGGAACACAACATACATCCATGGCTCGGGATGGCAGAGTTCTCACCATTGATGCTTGTTGTCCGATTTGACAGAGTGTCCTGACGTTAAATGCTCCAACATGAAGTTGGTAGTATGGCTTTAAGGGACTATCGGTAGTTTTTTGGCTCTCAAAGTGAGAGGATGGATGACCAGTGTGTAGGAAAGTATTAATAGTAGGAGGAAAGTAAGATGATAGGGACGTAGATAAAGTGGAAGATTATCAGGAGAGCTTCATGTTCTTCGGGCAGCGTGTGGGTAGTTGTTACTTCCCAGCTGCCCTTAGGTACTTGAATGGGAAAGAGAATTAGTATTGTGTGACCTCAGAGCCTGGGAGACAACTTCTTGAGGCCGGTTGCACACGGTCTATTTGAATTGATTTTTAGTGTTGCTTCCTTATTAGTAACTTGCCGCCGGCTACGGACCACTGTAGGGTAAGTTCTTGGGGTTAATCTTTCTTAACCGTCTTTCCCCAGAGTGGAGAGGCGAAATAGCTGACATGCTGGTCATCTGAGGGAAACACGGGATGGTAAAAAACAATCATTGCAGACAATTAGTGATATGACGCAAAATAGTTCTCAATGACGCAGATGCATCCACTCCTTGTGATTTATAATATCCAATAAAATTCTATTGTTCTTCCATACTGCTATTCATTTTGCCTCATATTTCTGTTTATTATCTCTTTTTGGAATTCCTCTTTACTCTCTCCTTTTGCTTTGTGTGCTACATGGAGTGTGGCAACTCGAACTGCTGCACATCTGTGCAAAGTTCTATGTTGAAAGCAGTCAGTCAGCTAAGTGACAATGTCAACTGTTATACAACAAAAGTGATTCAATTTGGTTCACAACATGCATACAGTGATAGCTAGCAAGTAACGTCTCTTCAAGAGAACGTGTGCAGACTCCGTTGTTAATTGAATTAATGCTAGTTGTAATTTTAATGAATTTTTGTAGTTGTCTAGCCTTTCGTATCCCCACAAATATGGGCAAAAATGCATCGTAGTAAAACATTTTTTGTTGTGGTCCAGAAAGATGAAATAACATTTCTGGTTTTATTACGAACCAGAGAAAAATTACTTACAGGATGAAGTTCTCCAGCATAATTTTCTGTGATTGAAAGGTATTTTGGGTATAATTATGTACTCAGCTGTTAAACTGGATCGTATACTAGTGCTACCACTCTTGTAACACATTTTAATCCCTAACTTCAGTTGGAATCGGTGGCTGCACATTTTTATTCAGGCTCTAGATGTAAGTGATTTTGTGTTCAGCAATTAATTTAGTCTAAAATGTATATATATATATATAACTGTGTTTGGTTAAAAAAGTTGAAAAATGACTTTCATAACAAGAGGAGACAAGAATGGGATGTTAATGCCTTCTCACTAGAGAATAAAACTAATGTAGCATTTTTCTGTTTGACCAACCTGTTTGATTGAATTTCCACTGGAAACATATCTCGTTTGGTAATTATTAGTAGGATGTATTCGCTGTCGGAATTTTTATGAGACCTAAATCTTTCCTCGTTTTTGACTATTTACTCTGAATTTACGGTAACCTTTGTTATTTTCTTTCAGTTATTTTCATCTTATAACTGTCCCTTTTCAGTCAAACTTACTGTATAAGTAAACCACAGTGACTTTCCAGTTTGATATGTAGTACATCTCTTACTAGATGCATTTGACTTTCGGCTAGTGGGCTTCATATTGTAATCATTCATTCCTCCTAATTTTGTCTGGATAACCAGGCAGTATCTTACGCCCTCAAAAGATATATTTCCGTTACAGCTTGCTACGCTGAGCAGAAGATTGGCATCATTTGTCACTTGTTTTTGTACAAAAGGAGCTGAATTTTTCGTTTCCTTAGACAACTAATTGTTTCTTAATCCCTATGATTATCCCCTCTTTTTAGCGTTAGTTTGAAGAGAATAGCAGTGAGGTATACTGTCGAGAGTAGTTATGAACATAGGTTATACTGCCTCATTAGTGTGGGGTTTCGTCAGACAAAATTAATCGATATAACCCTCCAACCTGGTGACATGAAACTTCAGTTTCATTTATTCTGTCAACATTAGTTCTCAAATAATTATAGTTTCAGATGCTTTACTGATTAGCATTCATTTGTTTTACGTAACCTCTGTTTCGGCTTGATGGACAAGCTCTTACAAGACGTTCTATAATTAGCGTGTGTAGGTATTTCAGTACACAATACTTGTTTATTTTGTGGCTCAGTGGGATTGTTTTTATACATAATTAGGTACAAATGTCACAAGCTTAGTGATGTAGTATCCTATCATAGTGACACTCTTTAATCCTGTCACAGAGTCGTCTCAGTGATAAGTAGGTTGCCGTTTATTTCTTAAATCTTTATTACATAGTAGCAAAATAAATTTACACTGGTATTTCTTGTTTCCTACCGAATTGTAGTAAAAATTCAAATGGATTTAACTGAACAGACTAAGGTGATTAAGCATTTGGAGGAGATAGAAGAAGCTGGTGAAATGGTATTGGCAAAACAACAAGAATGCATTGTATATGACAGGAATCGACAAAAGTCGCGTGAAGCTGTGCGCAAGCTTATGCAACTAGGATCAGAAGATCAACAGTGGGTTTGTTTGTCTGACCAATTCTTTCATTTGCCGTCAAATGGTTTAAAAAAAGCAATTGAAGAAGATATTAAAGTTTATGATTCCGAAATTAAGAAGTTGAAGGATCAGTTGAAAGAAGATTTGAATTGGTTACATGAGCTTGAAGGAAAAGAGCCACTTAAAGGATTTCATCTATTACCTATGAAAAATGAAAATCAGTTTGTCATCTAGTATTTGTATAAATGAAAATAAAACTGTATATCTTAACATATTTCTTTTTGTGCCTTTGATTCCAAACCTTTATCAATAAAATTAATAATCTTTGGTTGGTGATGAACCTTATTTTCAGATGAATAATCCACCTACATATGGTCATAGACGGTATAATCCTTTATTAGATGAATGGATTATTGTTTCTCCACAGAGAATTCAACGTCCTTGGGAAGGCCAGATAGAATCCGATAACCGTAAATCCATGACAGCAGAACAATCTGTCACTAAAGATGCTAAAAATCCTCTGTCCCCTGGGTGTGTGCGTGCTAATGGGGTTGTTACACCGGATTATGAATGTGTATACACATTTATCAACGACTTTCCTGCATTGGTAAGATTGTCATCTGTATCTTATGTATAGCATTCATCAACAGTTTCAATTGTCAAACTTATTTCCGAGTGTTAGGAGCGATTGTGTGTTACGGTGTTTAGTATTCTTCAGTGCTAAGCGCAAACTTGATATAACAGGAACTTTTCACAACGTAGTATGGTATCATTAATATCTATTCAACCCATTGAGTCTCGTAATCTTTTGTGTTTGGTCTAAGTATTAACCATGGACTGACAAATGTCAACCTGAAAACACTAACCTTTACCTAATTGGCTCTGCTTTTGTGCTCAATCTGGTTTAATAAACATTATGACAGTAATCGTAATGGCATGCAATATACGTGTTCAAGCCATCTAAGCCGGCGGTTCAAAATTATGGCAACACTGAATAACAACAATATGCAATATTTAATCTTAAACTTGCCTACCTAACTTTGTCGTCAAATGCGGTTGGTCGTACAGAGAAAGAAGAAGTGATCATATAAAAAGACACTTTATGCTTGAAAGTTTGGATTGCTAAGATCACTTTACGACTAAGAATAAGTTCAGGCAGTCTCCTATTCCTGTTCACACGGACGAATATTATCTCACTTGGTGACCACGGAAATTAAGTTATCAACAGACGAAAATAGATCATCTAGCTATAGATTATTGATGGAGAGAACTGGTAAGAGATTGCCGCTTTTTCTAATTGGACGTCAATCGTGCACCAGTATGTCATGTTTATGGCTACGACTGAACACATGTGGAAAACAAGCAGCTACGAAACTGCCACATGCACAACATATTCATGAGGACATGAGTTCTACAATTAGTGAGGGGAAAGCTGAAATATCCCAATATGATAGCAGTACTCATCCTAAGTAGGCCTTGGGATCATATCCCTTCTACTGTAAAAGCGGTGGTAAAGACCGTTGATAACTTAAAACCGAAGGTCTCTAAATACCATCGGACGTCTCTATCGTCATGCAAACTGGGTAATATAAGTAGACTGATCCCAACTACCTCCGAAGTTGTTCAAAAGTAAGCTAACTAAAACTCTTCACCACAGCTGTGGGCGACAAAAGCTGAAGGAACGGAGAAGACATCACTTATCAACTATTTAAGCCTTTTACCATGAGTTACGAAAACCTAGTGTAAGTGAAATGATTTTAAAGATGGATAAAACTTTATAACTTATCAGAAGACATGGTTGGAACGTTGGGCAGAGCATGTGTCGAGTAGTTCATTTGGTATATAGCTGCCAACCATCTGTCCCCTATCTGAATGAGTAGCGTATGTTGGTCTTCCAACTTTTGATGAGGTTGGTAAGCTTTTCCCCATTCTAAAACTGGGCAAAGTAGCAGGAGATGATGGGTATAACTCCACAGTTTTTTAAGGACGATGACAATAAATTATTTACTAGACTAGTTGGTGGATTCTGAAATGTTTTTATCATTTTACTGTAAACCACTTTTCACCCTAATCTTCATAAGAAAAGGGACAACTCTTGTAATAATCACCGGATTGGGGTATCCGATTGACTCATATAGTGCGTAAGATCTAGTGTTCCATAAATTAAGCGTCCTCCTGGAAAAGAAAACCCCCGAAAACAAAGCTAGGTTTAGGCTCGCACAAAGGTGTATTGATATTTCTTCACTCTTAGATAGATCTTGAGACACGTGTGTTAATTGGTATCCAGTACTTGACATATTTCTTGAAATGAAGACTCTATTTAAATCGAGAGATGGCGTGGCAATATTTAGCTGTGAAAGGAGTGCTGAGAAAGTGTATTTTAATGATCAATAGACTCTACTAGAACTCATGAAGCTGTGTAGGCATGTATGAATAGTTGTTATCTGAAATCAAGACAACCAGTGTTGTCTGTTAGAGATGTCCAATGTCTCCATTTTTGTCTTCGTTTAATTCCATGATAAACCACTAATGAATATGATCCTGATGGGATTCGAAGTTTCAGACATTGTCGTTTTATCGGGGGAAGGTCTCGTGGATCTGGAATTTACGGATAATATAGTCCATCTACATTAATGACGATAAAATGAAGAGTTTTCTGAACATATTAGTAGATGTTATACGGAATTTGCGCCTGTCAAATGTGAGATTATTCTGCTTGACTAGTCCATCCTCACTCATATTTCAAAGGTATAAATGAATTGTTTGAATGTATTAACCACTTCTGTTTGGGGAATATCATCAACTCTGATGAATTGATTTTCGACAAAATCTGAACATTGATGCATTGATATATAACTGTAAACACTGTGCGATTTATCAAAATAAAATCTTATCTATAATGGAATTGATGCAAAAGACTCTTGTGGCATTTACTACCCTACTTGGTCTCCAGCACAGGCGCAATATCCAGCTATCCATCAGAATACGTGTATATTGTTTGAAGTTCACTTTAAGGCCACGAATTACGTCAGTTTAAAGTGAGAGATATAAAGAGATTAGTCATTTTTTGATGACGAGTGTCAATCTCTCGTGTTAATTGACATTTAATCGATAATAATGACGACAGACGTAATGTTGCGTTAGTGGGGAAAGTCAGTTGATGAGGTTGCGAAGCTCCATCAACTGAAATAGCTAGGATATGTATGTAGCCGCAAACAATTAACCTGCATCTAATAGAAATCGAAGCAATCTTATTCATTAAATATAACATATGGGTCTCTTGTTCGGACAGCTCTTCATTCGCTGACGTTTATATGGCCAGTTAGCATCATCAGTCATCGCTTATCTCCAAGTGCATAAAAATCCAACTTCTGTATGTTCATCAGCTGGTTTTGGCATACGACAGCTATAGTAATCTTCGTAAGCTTTTTACGCGCAAAATAGTGTTCTCAGGATACATCAGTTAAACCCAGTGGTCACAACGAACAAGTGAGATGTTATAAGTGTAATGCACGGAAGATACTGAAGTTCTGTTCTTATTCATTCGAGCTGGAGACTCAGTGATTGCGTACAGTCTTTGAAGGAGATGGTGTACCAATCAGCTACCCCTGGGATGTCACTCAGAGCAATTCGGTACACAGTTAGACACTAAGGTTCTCTATTGGAAAAAATAATCCTCCACAGTAGTTATCATCAATCCACTGATGAAAAGGAAGTACGAAAGGAGCTGCCAAGTAATGATAAACTACAGTACGGTTGGTTCAAACAACTTACTCTTGCTTCATTCAAACGATGAAGCTTAAAGTGTGAGGATAGCTGGTTGTAAGCTCTCACTCTACCTGAGATGCTTTTTACAGGGTTTTCAAGGTGTTGATAAACTCCGCTCTAACAAACAATTTCAAAGAACTGTTGTATTCAACTAATTAAAGACATCTCTAGTATAAAAAACACGACGCTTTCTAGTCTGCAATATGTGTGATGCTGTTCTAACAACTGAAGAATAGTGAACATGTAGTAGTTACATCTACGACATGAACGAAACTTTTCCTGCTCTTCGTCAGTCGATTTCTCGCGCTCTTTACAAAGCCTATAGAGCCTGAGAACGACTGATATTTTAAACGCAACTGGCAAATGACTAATACCCCTTGATTATCTCATGCATCGCGTTGGGCTTTTTTAAAGATAGGCACAATGATAGCTTTATCCCACATCGATGAAACACTCACTTTCTCACACATTCTTAAACTATCCAATTAGTTCGATAGATTTCATTTCTTCAGCTAGAAGATCAAGGAAGCATCCCTTTATTTCATTTTATTCAGTCATTTTGATCAGTGTTTTGTTTTTGACCCATTATCTTCTAGGTAAGTGATGAGGACTATCGTAAATCAAACGATCCAATTATTTTCAACACGGTTGATGAAAATCCATTATTTGCGTCTTCTTCAGCACGAGGAGACTGTTTAGTCACATGTTTTCATCCAGATTCTCATAAAACACTAGCTTTGATGGAAGAACACGAAGTCCTGTCCGTCATTGCTGAATGGTGCCGCATAACCGAAACATATTTGAAGGAGAGAAGTCACCAGTGGGTGCAAATTTTTGAAAATCGGGGCGCAGCTGTCGGCTCATCTAACATGCATCCTCACTGTCAGGTACATTATTCAAGGAGTTTACATTTGAATTTCTTACTTTATTTTCTCAACTGTGCTTGTGTCTCTATCGTCAGTGGTGTGCAAAAAGTGACTTTTAACATTTCTTATAAACTCTACATCATCAAAAAGTCCATTCACACATATTAAAGATTTTGGCGAATGAGATTCCAGGTTTGATTACGAACTGACTTCACTAATAAAATCACTGTAAACCAGGGAGTATTAACTGAAGTCAGTCCGTGTTAAAACTTGAAGTCATTGAAATCCCTGAAAACAAACACTTAGAAACTGAGTAGGATTTCAATTGGACATCATATGACTGATTCCGGGACTACTGGAACTATGTTCTTCTATGGTTTTCGCACAAAGATTTGTTCTCTTTTAAGTGTTGAAATCTCATCACTTTACCTAATTCTACCCTACCCTTATCAAATTCCACTACTCTCCTCAGTTTAAGAGTGTTTATACCTTAACTTCTATTATTTCTGTGTGCTTCTTTTTCTCTTGCTTTGTGCGCTACATGGAGTGTGGCGACTTGAACTGCTGCACATCGGTGCAAAGTTCTACTTTGAAAACAGACTGATAATTTAAGTGTGCCCTCTATCGATGTTCTGTTCACGCTGTAACAGAACAGTAGTGAGGTAAAAAGCAACTGATTGGCATGTAGACTGTGAGTGAAGTTTTGACTCCTCCTTCATAATTGTATTTCCACTAAGCCGTAGTTTTCCAAAGCCACTTTCTTTGGTAAACATCAGTATAATGACATCTATTGCCTCTGAAACTTTTATCTACCAATGTGTGTACATGAACCAGCTAGTAATCACTGTTTGGGTACGTGTTCTAGAATGAGTGCCTCTTTTTAACCGCATCTTTTGCCTTAAATTTATGGTCGTACGGTTGTGGGGACTGACTATTATATCTCTGTATACTAGAAAAATAGTATTCATACCCTTACTACCATGGACAGACGACGTCAATTATATAGCCTCAACTAATTACTGTATACCTGTCTCACGAAAATAACAGGCATTATAGTGCAGGATGGTAGGGCATGTAGGCCAGCAAATTACTTTATCTCTTTTACAAAACTGAATTCTCTAACAGCAACTATTTTTGCAATAGTTTTCTGATGTTCTGCTTTGAATAAAAAATTTGTTTACAGAATACGCAATATCCGAAAATTTATCGGAATGTTAACATTCAGTCCAATTATAACAAGATTTTATTTCTGGCAACCTGTTCCTTTAGATTCACTCATTTATACATTTCATTGTAAAGTCCTTTGAGGACAAGTACATATTCTGTGTATTTTAGTTGTCTACTATATATATATATATATATATATATATATATATATATATATATATATATATATGGCGGGAGAACCTCCATTTCTCAGATATTTTCTTTGGAATGGCTGTAAGGTAGGGGCATGTAAGTCGAATACCGGAGGGATGAAATAAATACCGAATAGGAGAAATGAAAGATCCTTGTGAAACAACATAGAAGGCATGAAAGGAAAATGGAGATTTCGAAGTAAGGTACATGTATGTTACCACATTTGTACATCAATTCGCCAATAAGCTACTCTACTGCCAAATACTATTGTGTTCTGATGTTACACATACAGTTTGCCAATGCATCCTGGTTTGATAATAAATCCACTGTTTCAAATCACTTCGTGTAACCTGCAAGTTGTATTTTGTATGAATGTGAATAAATAGTATTGGATGTCCGATAAGTTCAGTTTATCATGGGATATAATAATCCTTAAAATATGAAATTTGGATTAAGCTTTTCAGCTATACTATTTGTAAATGGAGAAATAACCTCTTTCGAAATGGCAAAAAAATATCCAACCCACTAACTAGAAGTTGACTCAAACTGAAATTTTTTCTCAGGTAAAATGAATTCCACTTTTCACATTTCATCTCTTCAAAGAAAGTACTACTGCCGCGCATGAGATTCATTTTCAACTTGTCGTAAGATACACAGCTTCATTCACTAACTATAGCCGCGTACTTCATTCTTTCCCAGATCAGCGAACATTTTCATGAATATAATATCTGTAGGATTCATAAAATACACAATATTTCTCATTTCCTTTTTTCTTCTTAAATGCAGATTTGGGCATGTGGTTTTCTACCGTCTTTAATATCACGACGTGATAAAAATCAACGGAATTATGCTCTTCAGCACAGTAATGTACCCTTGCTGTTTGACTACGCGATGCAAGAGGAAGCTAAAATGAATAACAACCCATCCAACTCGAGAGTAATTATATGTTCGAACCATTGGCTTGCTCTTGTACCATGGTGGGCATGTTGGCCATTTGAAACAATGATCCTGCCACGCAAACGTCACATATTGTGGTTAAACGAGTTGACTGACGAAGAAAGACGTGATCTTGCTGGTGTAATGAAACAGTTGCTTATTCGCTATGACAACTTGTTCAATACAGAATTTCCTTATTCTATGGGTTGGTATCAGGCACCAATGTACTCGGAAGTGAATTTTTGTGAAGATTTAAAAGAGAAATATAAACATTGGCAGTTGCATGCTGTTTATTTACCTCCTCTGTTAAGATCTGCCACCGTGAAAAAGTTCATGTCAGGTTTTGAATTATTGGCAGAGGCACAAAGAGACTTATTGCCGGAGACAGCTGCAAAAATGTTACGTGAAACAAATTCAATTCACTATACTAAGAGGAATTTATAAAAATGTAATTTTTTCGGTGACAATGTATTCAGGGCTTTCAGTTTACTATGTAATCTTAAAATTCCTTACAGACTTTATAGCTGAAATTTATTTATTTACTTATGAAAATTTATTGTCACAAAAATTTGACTACTTTATTCTAAGACGAATTAGTCTACCTTTGCTTAGTTTTGTCCTTTTTTCACTACCCTATTATCAATAAAAGTCATTGTAGAGAATTACGAGTATGTGCTTGCCTTAAGTTTACACAAACCTCAACCTGCTTACAAGTGCTTTTATGACTATAGTTAGCTAACTCGTTGAACATATTTTCCGTTGACTATGTGTCTTTTTTATTATTTCATCTACTCGTGTGTACTGTTATAATAATAATTTGTTTCTTACTTTAACCTATAAAGAAGAGACTTGTGTGATATATATTTTCACTGATTAATGAATAAATTTGTTGTTTATTTCACTAACTATTCACTGCTCTGTAGTAATGCAAGTGTTGTTCTGTCTGACTTTTATCATCATAGGAGAACACGACATTCACATATTCTATTGGTATAGGTCTAAGTATCATCTTCAATCTTGTCTCTTATATAAAAAAATTCAACTACAAGAGCTGTTTTCTTTAATTCTAAATACCATTGTGTAACGACTTAGGTTAATTAGCCTTACATTCTCCTGAAAATTATTCTTCACTTAACGACGCATCAATCGATTCCGTTAGATCACCAGGAAGGTTATATTTCGGTAATTACTCGTACTAAGCTTTCTCCTACACAGTTTGAGAAGGAATGTGCAAATCTTATTCTCAGCTCACTCATTTGATTTTGATATAATAAAATTACACTTAGTACAATGTGTCTCATAAAATTCACTCTTCAAGCATTTGGATCCACAACCCTTCTCTATGTATATAATTTAGCCAGAGTAAATAAGATGTAAATATTTTCACTCTCTCTGTGTTTCAGTCTGCATTAAATATACATATCAGAGTTAATGTTAGCTTTCTTGATCTAATTTCTCGCAATTAAAAAACAAATGTATTTCTACTTGAAAATATAAACTACTTATAAGTAGAATTCTTCCTTGAAGAGGAATTTTCTTTCCATGTATCTTTTGTCATATATTGATACATGAGAACTTGATTTGCCGCTATCCATTTGATTTTCCTTTCAACCATAACCTCTGGTTGGGTGATATTCTGAATTTTAATGCCGACACCATAGGGGTATGCCATGTCTAATGCGAGATGGAAGAAGACAAGTGATTGTAACATAGACACAATTATGGCTACACGTGATTTTGTGATGAAAACACAACCCTAAATGAAAATGCCCTTTTATCTCCCACGATCTGCATATCACCCTTGTACATCCAACGGCCTCCTCTGCGCGTGTATGACACACCTACATTTTCTTGCACATATTTGTTGAGCAATAGGTTCTCCGAAGATTCGTCCCCAGAGTGATCGCCAAGTTTATGACTCATGTAGAAGTGACCTGATGTTAGTGTTTAGTACAGTTGATTTCCAAACTGATTTCAAGGTAATGAACGTCCTTTTTGGCTTTCTGATCATGATTTCGATATCCTCATCCGTTTCCCTTGTAGCTGAAATAACTATGTCTACATAAAAAAGAAAGTCATCTCTTTCAAATTTTTTTCCATTGGTGATGATTAATGCTTGGTGGTCGTGATGACCGAGTGTCTTCATCACCTCCATCTTATCTGTGTTCACTTGAAGTTCGAATTTCGCTCCCAGCCTCTTATGCCAACTTGCTAGTTTGCGCCTCCAGATCCTCGAGTTTGTGTGAAACTAGGAATCAGTCATCAGCCAAACACAAATTTTCTACAGCCTAATTGTCGACCCGACATGGCTCTGTCTACCCCATGAGCCAGTCCACCACAATCAGGAACATGGTCGGTGATAGTGGACAGCCTTGGATTACTCCAGTATTCACTTCAAAGACTTCTCTGAGTTTCCCGTTACGACACGTGGCATTTTCATATTGCTTTCGGATGAAGTTGATAAAGGCTTCGGGTACTTCATAGTGTTGAAGCAGTTTCCAAAGATCCCACTCATCATTCTAATTCATTTCGTCGAGAACCTCCAGACCCATGAAGAATTCTCTTCCTGCATTCTCCATTCTCGCCCAGCTTGGATTGCATTCATATCGTCTATTGGGATTTCGATGTCGCCACATGGATCGGTTCTCGTCGACCAATGTCTCCCGTTGTTTGTAGAAGTCTTCCTTCTTCTCCACTCCATCTGTGTTGTTTGTAGGCGCGTAGCACTGAATAATTGTAACTTGCCCTCCTTTCGAATTGAATCTTCACGTCATTTATTATCCTGAAGAAGATTGCTTCCCACTGAATAAGAGTTCTTGACATTGATGGTGACATCATGATAGCCACTCTGTTGTTGTGCTCGTGGTTGTCGTCTGGGTGAGTTGAGTAGATTACTGACTCTAGTGATTAACGGTTTGGCGTTTGGAATTATGGGCACTTGGTTCGAGCCTCGATGGAAACATCATCACTCACTGCGGAATGCAGGCATATCCATCTGACGAGTCCCAAATAGGACTAAGTGCGCGTTGTCCAGGATTCCACTGCTAGTCACTATCCACTAATTAACTTCTAATTGACTGTACAGTTAACAATTTGGAGAGTCCACTTCCATTCGACCTGCCTTCACAGATTCCTCGCATTTCTATAGTCTATCTTCTCATTTCTTTTGCATTCAAAGCAGCCTTCCCAGCTCCAAACATTATGCAGACATTCCATTTCCTCATCGTTATTTTCTCTTCCGTTGAAAGAAGACATATCGGCTGACTGGCTTCCTGAAGGCTTTTACTATCCTGCATCATTTCGTCTGTTTGATTCCAGTGTAGAATAAGTCTATATATATATATTCTTTGCGTTGAAGTTTCTGTAGAGATCGAGTTGATTTTTTGGTTTAGTACTGTTAGCCCCACGCCCAACCTGTCTTCTTTTCCCATAGTTTTCGACCGGCTAGAAAACTTGCGTATTAGTAAACCAGCCCAGGTTAAATTTCACAGATTGATCCATCCATTGACCGAGCATTTATACATTGGTTTTAAGGAGTATTGAACCCATCCATCCCTGCCTTTTACGGGATGAGACCAGCGCTCAGTATTTTCCTGTAGCACAACTACTTGAGAGCCATCTGCCTTAGTGCACCAGCCTTTTGTAAAGTTTGGACAAACAAAATCCTACTTAAACTCATTTCAACCAGCATTCTACGTAAGCCGAGAACAGTAGGAACAAACAAAAGTGAAGATAACTGCGAAACGAAAGAGTTGATGTAGAAAGCTAATTCATATTCACATCAGCTGCGTTGGACTTTCAGTCACTATTTAATTGCAAGCATTTTGTCACCAAAATTGAGAGAGTGAAATAAACTGGATTCTTTATATATATTCAAAATTATGAGAAATTCAGTATCATATATTATATGTTTGGGTGTATCAGATTTCATTAGTCTACTATCTTTGTGCGTGTATGTATTTACATGCACGAGTACGTGTGTGTTTGAGAATATAAGACGTTACTGCATTTTTAATAGCTGTAAATCTAAAAATAGCTGGTTTCCAAAACAATGCATTCGCTATGAAAATTTATGTCACTGATTAAAGTAAGGTTGACTATTGATTTGTCTGAAGTAATTATGGGGGAACAAACAGCTTTGTAATAGACAGCCTAAATTTGAATAACAATACGCTTATAGCCTACTTTGGACATTATTATTGACTTGAGCATTATTCAATCAGACTAAAATTTTACTGACTCTTACTCAAGAAGATTTGTTGCTAGCAGTTAGGGTGATATACATGAATGAATAGTGTAACCAACAGACATTTGTATTAAGTTTGTTTACATATATCATTAATGTGCGACGGAAGCACTTGTAATGATGTGGGGAAATTACAAGCCTTTTTAAAACTTGAAGTCAACCAGTTTCATCGTATAATTACCCTTCTTAACTTACATGGCATACACCAGAATTTCCTTTTCACCCACTTCACTGTGTTCATTTGTTTGAAACCAACCTGTCTAAAAGTTCCTGCGAACTATATACATATATATAACCGTAGCTACAGTCGTCTAAACAGTTTTTGATAGTTATACAAAGGACTTCAAGCAGAATAGATCTTTCGAATACTTAAGATGTCAATCTCCAGTACTACATAAAATCTTGGTTTACGTGTTTGATAGCGGTGATTAAAACTGTTTAACAATACGTTGTTGTGAATATGCATTTAAATTCAACTAATTTCGTGACTACTGGTTACTGATATTTTTATATTTCACTCAGAGAGATTAATTATGCTCTTCTATATACCAAACAATGCATGTAAATTCTCACGGTCAAGTGGCTATATTTAAAGAAACTACCGTCTTTTTTCTCAAATTTAAAATATTACGTTTTTATTCATATCGGATGAAGACAAAGGCATAATAACCCTACTCGAATTTTATTCGAAAACCACTGATAAAGTATTTTTGACATTGGTTACATCTAAGTGACCAATCAATGTATCCATCACAGTCCTGTATGAGATCAGTCGTGAGCCTGAATAGCCCACTTTTAACGTTTCTGAATGCCATGCTGGGTGACATCATCAGTTTCTACTGACATCGTAGATACGCCTTGCTGACAGGAGTCAACATTCAGAAAACCAAGGTTCAAGATTGTCTGCCTCCAGCAGTCTAACACTAAATATCTTGATTTTGTTGGATAGTATCGCAGTACTCAGTGGATAAGTGTGCTGATTGATACAGTTAGCTTTCTAAAGCTTACTGGACCCTGTAACACTGAACTATAGAGATATGGCATGTTGAAATAGAATAATAAGTCCAGATGAAGATATACTTGCTATTGATGTTGTATTGAAAAAATAGGTAGCACCTAATTTGCTTTTCTACATTAAGCCTGATTATCTCGTATCTCGTCTTTCAACTGTCTGATTAGTAGGTTGAATCTTACCAAG